AGAGTGCAGATGATCAGTTTTCTACAGTACCTCCGATAAAACAGGCGAAGAATCAATGATAGCATCTAGAGAATTATGCTTGAATTGCTTTACTTCATTTCAACCTGTTAGCTACATATACACATAATAAAGCCTAATCATGACAACATCATAAACACACCATTCACATTATAATCATTTAAGCCAAGGCATAACCATTAGGCACAGTTAAGTTTTTCTAACTGGTAGCATGATATAAACCTACAAACACTTAACACCTGCAATAAACCTTTTTCAATCCTAACTACCCAAGTTATTAGTCATACTGCATTAATGCTAAATGATCATCATACCAACTAACAATTAGTTCTAACATGTTCAGGTGTTAGTTTTGTTAGTAGCCAACCCATTCCACACTGGCAGTTCAAATAATCATAACTTAACTGTAATTCTCTAGCACAACCCTAACACAAGCTAAAATAACTAAACAACCTGCCAATGCCATCTTCTAACCAACATCTTTAGCACTAATTGATCCATTAATCAATTAACAGTTCATAGTCCTAACTGTTTTGACTAATCCTTAACTTATAACTTCTAATATAGACCAATAACAGTTCAACAAACCCTTGGCTAACATATCAATTCCACAGTTAACCTAACTTCATCCTCATTAACAGTTAGCATAATAACCAATCAACACAACAATAACTGGTTCACTAACCAGTAATATATCACATTTCAAGCACAGTCAAGCTACCTAAATTTACTTGCATAACTAACATTCTTTTTATAGCAGTTCAAAATCACATCAGTTCAAACTAACCAATTTCAACCCACTAAGCATTAATTAATTCAATTCACTAACCTAGCAGCTAGCTGTTTCCAAACATTAACACCAACTAACAGTTTACATCCTAATTGTTTTAACATTTCTAACCAAGTTCTAACTTCCCATATCATAACTGATTTTACTTCTTTCTTTAAGTTGATTCAACTAATTTTTTCTAACAATTAACTATATAACTACTAGCCATTTAACTAGCCAATATTAAATAACATATTGTAACTAATAATTCAAACATAACTGACAATTCCTCCTCAACTTGATATAACCAATTCCTAACTAATTTTCCTTTAAAAAATCACTTTTTCACTAACATAACAGTTCTAACCAAAGTCCAATTTCCATTCTAACTGCATCCTAACTGTTTTTTTCAAATTGGTAAGAAACCAAATAACAATTCAAAAAACTCTATATTTCCTACCACATAGGCTGGATCTCTTCATTCACTCTCCATTATTAATAAACAAACTTTTATGGTTTTAGCTGAGGCAGTAAAAAGGTCGAAAAAGAAGGCAAAGTCAGAAAAGAAGCCGGACAATGTAATTTTTGGACAACTTAACGGTAGTTTCTTTATATACCCTAAATAAGAAACGCCGCATTAATCTCATTCTGTTAAATTTGTCACATGTTAATATCTTTTGGTTATCGACCACAATTTGTAAAAAAATAAATAAAGCAACTGCTATTGCAAATGCGGTTGTATTCTAAATACTTAAATCTAGTCACACTGGATCCTTAAGTGTTGTATTCCTTTTAAGACGAGGGGGGAGGGTCATTTTTGTTAGGTTTGTCTGTATATAGATTCTACCATTGTTAGTTGTCAGAGTGCAGCTCTTCCTATGTTTGGATATGATGTGGATACAAACTTTTGAATAAGTCTAGCTTGGTGGTATAGTATAAAGAATATTTCCAAAATATAATATTGCAGCTTCTTACCATGAATCTCCCTGTATCTTTGCAGGCTAAGACCCATGTCATATTTCACTGAAGTAGCTACAGAAGCTGGATAGTTAACAATGTTAAGTTCACAGGTGTAAAATAGAAAGGGTGGATTTTTGGGAGTCAATCATGGCAAATGAGTATTTTTTTTTTTGACAATGGACAAATGAGTAATTCATAGTTAGTATCAAAGTATTGTTAGAAAATTCACTGTTTGTTGATACTTACTGTTACCAAAGATTACAATTTTATAGCGAATGTGGTATTTACTCTTCAAGTTTTGTATTCTTTAATTTTATTCACAGATGATTTGTATTATTCATGGAAAAACTTTGTAGTTTCCTCAACTTTCTTCCCCACATATTAATTTATTTAAAATATTGGAAAAAAAATATAAAGTTTAACATGATGTTAAAATAATGCTGAGGCACGACAATCATTTGACAATTATACCAATGATAAATAAATTTGATATAATTATAAATTAAAAAAATTACTTTAAAAATTCAAAATTTTGATACTAAAATTATAGCAATAAACTATGACACAAATATACTATAAAATCCATTGAATAATTTAGTATTGAAATTATTTGTAATTTTTGATTTGTTATAAAAGAATACAAATTCTTTCTCCTAGGAGATATCCGGCACGTGAGTAAATAAATTAAGAAAATATGTAATATGTAAGAAATATTCAAGGAAATATTTGTAATTATCAGTCATATGTGTAAATATTTGCAGTTATTAGTCGTATTGGATTTTCTCTGTTGGTGATATATGTTAGTGATTTTTGACAATGGACAAATGAGTAATTCATAGTTAGTATCAAAGTATTGTTAGGAAATTCACTGTTTGTTGATACTTACTGTTACCAAAGATTACAATTTTATAGCGAATGTGGTATTTACTCTTCAAGTTTTGTATTCTTTAATTTTATTCATAGATGATTTGTATTATTCATGGAAAAACTTTGTAGTTTTCTCAACTTTCTTCCCCACATATTAATTTATTAAAAATATTGGAAAAAAATATAAAGTTTAACATGATGTTAAAATAATGCTGAGGCACGACAATCATTTGACAATTATACCAATGATAAATAAATTTGATATGATTATAAATTAAAAAAATTACTTTGAAAATTCAAAATTTTGATACTAAAATTATAGCAATAAACTATGACACAAATATACTATAAAATCAATTGAATAGTTTAGTATTGAAATTATTTGTAACTTTTGATTTGTTATAAAAGAATGCAAATTCTTGCTCCTAGGAGATATCCGGCACGTGAGTAAATAAATTAAGAAAATATGTAATATGTAAGAAATATTCAAGGAAATATTTGTAATTATCAGTCATATGTGGAAATATTTGCAGTTATTAGTCGTATTGGATTTTCCCTGTTGGTGATATACTACATATTTGTAAATGTTAGTGATTTTATAATAAGAATTATATGTCAACAACATTAAAGTCTCATTGAATCATCTAAGATATGAATGGACTTAAAAAACATATTGAAATCTCATTAAAGTCTGCACGGATCTTTTACTAGTTTCACTTAAAAAAAACATATTGAATCATCTAAGATATGAATGGACTTACCCTAGCAGACGCACGAGTTTTTTACTAGTTTCACTTAAAAAAAACATATTGAAATTATAAAATAGTATAATCAAATTCAATCATGTAAACTTTACTTAATTTCATTATTTACATATATTTTTTAAAACATATTCTATAACCTCATTTCAATTATATATCTATAAAGAAACATGAAGTATAGCCTCTTTCACTTTTTGAAAAGAGCTATTTGTGAGGGAGGTATCAGAAATAAAACGGGAGAGGTGTTAAGCAAATTCACGTTTCAGTACAAAAAAAGCAACGACCACAGTGGGAGTCGAACCCACGACCTTCTGATCCGAAGTCAGACGCGCTAATCCACTGCGCTATGCGGTCCTTGTTGAAACCTGTTTCCCGCTTTTGATTGTACAGTACTTATTCATCTACCATTAAGTAATCGTAATAGGGCTTTGCAAACGGCAAGACGAAGAAGAAGAGAGTAGGGTTCTGCACGAGAATACCAAAAATACCCTCACACGTCCCAATTCACTGTAGCGAGCGCGAGAACTGAATTTAAACCGAGAAGATCAAGTTAAATATTCATTTGTTAGGTTTAGGGATTCGAACCCTCGTCTTCTTCATCTCGTTAAAACTTTCGCACCGTTTCGATCCATCAACAATCCCACGAGTTTCTGTTTTCTCCAGATTACGAGGGCGTGGTTTAGTTTCTTGCACAAAGCTTGCCGATCCTGCATACTCCGTAACAACTTCATCGCCGGATTTGCAGTGACGCCAACCGGTAAATCAGCCGCGACACCGTGTTTTCGTGGAGGTAATATTTGGAGTCAGATTTACGCTCACATAGGACACAATAGAAGTTGTTCTTGTAGGTTGTTTTTTTTTAACATGCGACATTGTAGGATTTCAGTTTTGATTTGTTTAACATGTTTAATATTAGTTGTTTCTGCTGATAGTCTCTGTAAGCATTGGTGTGTAAATTTGCTGTTCTTTTGTTTCTGGATTTCATGGATGTGAAAACAATTCTTGATATGGTTTTCCAATAAATCCCTTTTCAAGAATCCAATACTGAGAATAATTTGGGTTTAGTCCTTCATGTTTAGAGTTGCAACTACTCCGCAGAATGCCAATTTTGCACCCCTTTGCTTTTGAGTTAGCACCTGTTCCCAGATAGTTTCACTTTTGACCCTAGCTCTTGCTCTCTCCTAAACTTAATTGCAGTTTTGGAATAACACCTATTCTCACCTGACACACGTTGTACACGTGTAGTTGTTATTGTGTAGTTGTTATTGTACACGTGTAGTTGTTATTTTATAGCTTTTGGATAGGTGTTTCAATAGGATGGGAGCTTGCTTTTTGTAAATAATGATATCACAATGAACAATGTGTTACTTTTTATCATCTTTACTTGATATATCAGATGGTGCTTGATCACGCCTTGAACGTCTTGTTGCTGCATGTTTGATGATAACATTATCAATAATAGCTCACCTTTGTTTCATTGGCATTTTTGCTTCCAGAAAAGGACTCTGTCCATTCAGTGGACTCAGATTTCGGTAGAAACACGGGGGCTTCTGCTCAAAGTCTGGTGTCAAACTCGGAGAAAGATCGCTCCTTTAAATCGTCTCTTCACGCTTAACAATTCTCAGATGCCTCGTTACAAAGATGAGTCCCCTGCAGTTCGTGTTTACACTGTCTCCGATGAATCACGGTTTGTTTATTTCATCCTTTCAACTTACACCATCGTTTCCAATTGTTGCAAGCTTTGTTCATTCTTAATTTGATTTTTTTTAGTATTCAGATATTTGATTGTGAGGAACGTTCCGGCATTAGGTTGTGGTGATGATTTGCTGCAACTGTTTTCATCCTATGGAGAAGTTGAGGAGTAAGTCACTTATGCTATGTTTGGATATGCGAAATAAAGATTCCTTTTAGGTTCATTCCGTTAATAGCGGCCGCGCTTGGCACTATCTTGAGATTCTCTCATGGTGAGGCAACCCTCCGCTACGAAGGAGCGGCACACATCCCAGTTTTGGATAGCAGCCGGGAAAGCTGGGATAGCCGGTTGCGGGAGCGGTTCTTGGTCCAGAGCGGCTTTGTGCTTTTAGGTTCTTTTGAGTGCAAAAAGATCTTTTTACCCTTAAAAAAATTTTAAATTGGAAAATTTATTTTAGTCGTTTGTGTTTTCTCTTCTCTCGTTCGCGTTTTCATCTTTCTCCATCGCGTTTGCCGCTCCGCTGTTTGGGATTAGTAAGTCTATTTCCCTCCAAATTGGAGGGGAAGAATATGGTGGTAAGTGATGTAACATTGAAATGGAATGGAATCCATACAACTCCGTTCTGTTCCGCTCCATCTAATTTTAAATGATCTAAACAATGGAATACCACTCAGTCCCATCCAATCCAAACAAAGCCTAACTTTGCAGATTTCTTCTTCCTAGTGTGCTTAGTGGTTTTTGTTTGAATCTCTATTTAGGTGTAAGCCAATGGATGCTGAAGAATGTGAGCAATTCACTGATGTTTATTGGATCAAGTTCCGTCTTTTCAATAATGCCAGGTTTTCCCCTTTGTCAAATTGTACTAGTTTTACAATGTATTTGAGAAAGTTGGGGTTGAGAGAGTACGTGCCACTCTTACAATTTTCAGGTTTGCGAAAAGAAAATTGGATGAGTTTGTTTTCCTTGGGAACCGACTACAGGTTTCGTATGCTCCCCATTTTGAGAGTTTGTCTGATACAAAGGATAAATTGGAAGGAAGAAGAAGGGAGGTTTTAGCTCGATTGAACCGTAAGATTAAAGCTTACCATGTTTATTACATTTTAAATATTGGCATGCTATATTGGACTTAAAACTGCTTGTTGCATGAATTGTTCAGCTAGAAGATCTAAAGAGACTATAGCGTCAAGCTCTAGGCCCCTAATTGCTTCGAACACCAGTTTCCCATCAGAACCTTTAGATACTAATTCAAGGTTATCTATTTTTCTGAATGAATTTTTCAGTTCTTGCTTCCATTTTGAAGCTAAGGCAATGTGTATAATACCATAAGGTGTATAATTGATCGTTTTTCCTAAACGTAGGAAAGCAGAATTTGAAGAAAGGCCGAACAACAGTATTCTTCCAAAAAGAACGGTTTCGTCTAACGAGGTTTGTTGCTTCTTTTTAAAAATATGCACATGTGAAGAATGTTTTTACTCTTTTGACGTGGAAGAATTGTTTCATAGGATGAACAAAATTCTCTCTTGAAATTAATGTTGCTAGAAATATTTGTCAAGGCTTTTTGATGCTGCTGGAGCTTTTTTTAATCAAATTTGTATCCATAAGAAGCCAATGTTCACTCGTATTTTAAAAGTGTTCTGCTATCTTCATATAACTGATGGAAATTCATTTGCACAGTTGTTATCTTTGTTGCTATCTTTAGGTGCTGGACTGCTAGATTTGATATTATAATTTATCATGATATTGGAGTTACCAGTTTTGTTTTAATTAAGAGTATAGGATGTTGTATGCGAAGAAAAAAGGTTTCTTGCTTTTCATCTATTACCCTAACATGTATGAACAGGATTATTTTTCATCCCATTCCATGAATCAAACAGTGAGGATTGTCAGGGATAAGCTTGATAAGGTAATGCACCCTACATAATATGAATTGGAATCTTTTATGGTGTTGAACTTTGAAAAAATTTCTTTTTCTCATCCAGATTGAATCTAGTGGCGGGCATCTGGAAGCTGGATCAACATCCAAAAAAGCACGAGTCGATAATAGGAGGAGGATTTAATGTGTAAAAGTCGAAAGTTTAATGTAATTGTGATGTTCTCATAGGGTGTTTCTGGGAGGGAAGGGTTTCCCCCCTCTCTTTCTCTCTCAAGTTCTCTTAACTCTTTTCTTCAGAATCAAGATCAATCTACTATTCGGGTTTGATCGAATAAATGTCGTAAGGTAAAGCGATTCTCTCTTGCTCTCTTTTCATACTCTTTTTTTTTTTCTCTTTACTATGGAAGCTTTATTTCTGCTTGTGATTTGCATGTTTGGATTTGAGTTAATGTGAGTTTCTTGTCTTTTCGCAGAGATAAAATCGTATTATCGATTCCATTGGAGGGTCTTGCTCCTGCATTTACCAACCTAAAGGTAGATATTTGACTCATCTTGTTAGTTTTTGGGTTGTTTGAAATTTGTAACTGAAAGGGAACTGTCAAGGTTAGAGTGCACTTCTATTCTTATCCTCATCCATATGATTAATATGTTCTTGACATCTTGTTAGCTGGCTTCTGCTAGAGTTATGTTCTCTATTTTGAGGAAACAGTTTTGTCTGTGTAAAATGGGACAAAAACCATTCTTAGATCTATGTTATTGGGAATTATGGTACAAAATCATAATGTTGGAAATTGAGGACCTCTGTCAAGTTGTAGAAAGAAGTTCAGTAGGTTTAATTAAAATAACTTGATTTTGGTTGAAAAGTGCTTATTTGGTTTCCATGTAATTATGTATGTCATAGATACTTTGCAATTGAGAGGTGCTTGTAACTTGAGTTTTGGTTATATCATTTCTAATATAAAAGTTTTTATATGTAATTTTTATGGAGTGCTTTTGGAAATTTTTGGGATTGAGGCATTTTTGATGTGAATAATAATATTATTGTATTTTTATCCAAATTTTACTATGAATGAAGAAAATAAAAGTATTTTATTTTATTACTCAATACAATAATACTACATGTGTAAACCTGTATTAATTTTCCAATCAACTAAAAGATTCATAGTAAACTCTTTTTTAAAAACTTAGTGAGATTAATCATTGAATTGTAAGAGTTTTTTTAAAAAAAAAATCAGGAAAGGAAAAAACTTACTGATTAAAATACATGCTACCTAAATAGATATACTCCTATTACACAAATATATGCATTTTAAAAGAAAATTCAATAAATGCAATATTTATGTATTTTTTGCCATATTCGTGTACGAGAAATGACTAATCATCTCTAGACATGAAACATTAAATATGCATATATGCAAAACTGTTTACTTTGTATATAATGATAAAAAAAAATATTTGAAAACGAACAATTATTTTAGTTATTAGTAATTTTTTTTCTTTCTCCTATTTTTTTGGAACCGCAATAATTCTTTAACACATCATGGTTAAAGCATATTCTTTTATTTTTTTAGGAGAGATTGAAGAGAAAAAGTGTCGAAATAAATATTTGGATTTTATATAGTAACATTTTATTTATTTATAATTTATGTGAAATTTAATTAGTCACACTTAAATTTTAATGTTCTCTCCTAAATCAAAATAAATTTCATCAAAGTCACTTTTAACATTGAAAAAACCAATACAATAGTTGGTACCAACGGCTCAAAATCCATGTAGTATACAAAATTTTCGACCACATCATTCCACCGCCACTAATAGATGCCACACAATCTTCACCATCTCTATCTCTTAAAGAAACCAATCCATCATATAAAAACACTCGGTGCTATTATTTTTGCAATGGATTTATGACATTATATCTAGTGATCTTTTCCATAGCGTTCTACTGCACTACTTCCTTGAAATTGTCTCTTTGCTATATCTTTTGATAACAAAAATTATAGAGCTTTCTATTTAGAGAAAGAATTTTCAAAGGTTAGCATTGAACAATTTTTAGATGCATGATCATATTGTCAACACATCAAGTCTCTTTATGACTAATTTTTCAGTGTTAAATGAATATATATGATACTTCAACTTGTCTTTGATCTTTTCAATATCCACGTCATTGTTAACTCTCAAATCCGTTATTTTGATACTCTTCCTCCTTTTCACAAGGCTCATTATACATTTGTTTTGGAAAAGATGACATACGTAAAACAAGCGATATTTAACACTAATAACTTTACCTTTCTTGTTTTTCAAGAAAACAAATCAATTTACTCATCTTTGCATCACATCTTTTCTCTATTGTCAATTTCAACCTACATTACCTCACTCTAATAGCAAACCTACCCCCCATCCAACTTGACACCACCACGACTACATCACAACCAACACCACCCAACAAAACCTTTCCCACCACCACGACCATATAACAACCTCATCACAACCACTTCAACAAACATCCATTTTTCATACAAACTACACTCTTACAAGCCCCACCTTACACCTAACATATCATATCTTCCTCAAATATTCACACCTACTAATTCTTTAGTCAATCTTTCACTTTCTCCTCAAATGATTATCCAAGCGAAACACAACATCTTTAAGCCTCACAAACTCTTTAATCTTTGCACCTCTAGTCCAACCCCAATTTCTCCTTTGCCTAACAATCTCATTAATGCATTACAAAATCATAATTGAAAAACTGCTATGAAAGACGAATATGATACTCTTATTAAAAATAAGAAGTGTGATTTAGTGTCACATATCTTTAATACTAACATTATTCAAAGTTTTTGGATTCTAAGCATAACAAGAAATTCGACGGTTCCTTTGAGAGATAAAAAACCTGATAAGTAGACAATGTCTATAATCAATAGAATGGTTTAAATTATAGTGAAATTTTCAATCCATCAGACTACAGTTAAGGTATCTTTTTCAAAATTATGATGTCTTCATCAATTAGAAGTACAAAAAATGACTTTTTATATGGAAATATCAACAAAAGCGTGTACATGTATCAAATTTCTAATTATCACGATACTCAACATTTTGATTATGCGTGCTTACTGAATATGTCAAAGAAATCATTGAATGAGATGCCATGTCTTCATGCAAACTAATTTCTATTCCAATGGATGCAAAAGAAAATTTTACTGGAACCTTAAGCAATTCATTTCAAGATCCCTCTAAATATCAAAGTCTTGATGTAGCATTACAATATATAACTTTCACAATATCCGATATTACTTATATGTCGTTCAACATGTATGTCTTTCCATATATGATCCAAAAATACAACTCATGACTGTCTTGAAGCAAATTATTCTGTACATTAAAGCTACAATTACCTACGATTTTCACCCCTCTCCTTTCCCAACTGATAAACTCACAATATATACTGATACTAACTGGGATGATGCCTGAACACTAGAAGATCCACGCTAGGTTATTGTGTTTATCCTATAGATAATTTAATTTCTTGGTCCCTAAACAATGACCAACCTTTATTTCATTTTATTGCTGAAGGAGAGTATATTGGTGTTGCTAAGGTTATTTTTAAATCTTGTTAACTTAAAAATTTACTTTTAGAACTTCAACGACCCATAATAAAATGCATTTTAGTCTACACTAACAAAATTAGTGTTGTGTACTTATTGAGTTATTCCATTCAACACTACTACACAAAACCCACTAAAATGGATATTTATTTTGTGGGTGAAAATGTTGCTCATAATTAGATACATGTTCTAAACGTTCTTTCATGTTATCTAATAGCTAATATTTTTAGAAAGAACCTTACATGTTCTTTCATATTATCAAATAGCTGATATTTTTAGAAAAAACCTTTCTTTATAGTTATTTGATAACTTTTGAAATAGGCAATATTGTCAATCTCTGATTTTTTTTATTATACATAAAATAAATAATTACAAATATGTTAAATTTGAAAGCATTAAACATGTCTTTAAGTTTATATGACATATGGTTTGCATCTTATAACACCTGATAGATGAATTATTGCATAGCTTTGCACGCAAATTTATACGGTGTAAGTTTAGATTCAACTTTTATAAGTTAAAATTGATGGTAGAATCATTTTAACATGCTCGAATGTCAACAAGTTCAATTGATTCTATTTTTAAAATTGATTTAAGTTTAAACTTATGATATGTACATTTTAAGCAATTTTTTATTATATTTAAAATAATGTTCAACTATCTAAAATAAGTTATTTTACACTCAACCTATTTTTAGTTAAAGTTAATTTATTCAAAATCAATTTTGATAAGTACATAATCAAACATACTCTAACAATGTTCAAAATTAGACAATATCATACTCTAAAACCAAAGAAAACCCACTTGCATAGCTTGTATATAGCTGCAAGACTCAATTTATGAATTATAGATTTCTCATTTTGTCATTCTATCATGGTACTCCAAAGGCTTTCGAATACTATATTACTAATTAATTTACATGGTACTAATGTCTATCTTTGGTGCAGTGATGTGTCGATTCCACATCATCCACTGTTTTTATGGTTTATTTAATTCATATTTTTTGAGTGGCTAATTAACATTAACATTGCTGACTAAGACCAATAGAGAACATGTTTATGTTGTTTTATTAGTACTTAATTTCTCAAAAGGTAATTGACCAGAATATACAACTTGATCAAATCAAAGATATGTGCTGTGTTGTTGTAACCCAAAAAAGTTATGTGCTGTGTTTAGTAATCTGACAATTGGGAACTATCATGCCCAACCAAGTATTAAAATATTGAAGCTTTCTGGTTTTTTAGGTATATGATGACGGAAGCAACCTCCATTCAATAGTTTCAAATTTGTTATCCATTATTAATTCTTTCATACTTGGATTGCTTTTCCTATTACTCTTTTTGCAAAATTATTTGAAAAGTTCTGCACCTTTTAAAAATAAAATATATGGGTAAAAACACACAATAAAGAGGAAAATATAAAACTTAAACTAAGAAATCAAGAAAAATGATACGGAAAAGATAGGTTTCTTATTTAATTTCCCTTTTACTTACATCAGATGGTAAAAAATTAGTTACTTCAGCAACACAATTGAAGATTTTTAACTGTTGTAATAAAAAATTGAAAAATTTGTTGG